ACAGCAACAGAAAAGGAGGATGAAAACCTTGGATCTATAAAGGACCTCTCAGTAATCGCGACATTAGAAATACTTATTTTAACTGGAATCAAATCTACCACTGCCTCGCAGAATCAAACCAACACAACTACTTTAAAAAGTGAACGAGAAGTAATCGATTACAGCAGAGTAACGAGGCCCACGCTGGTCGTGTTAAAATCAAACTTGTGTCTTTCACGGTCACTTTCTTCGTCCTATCTGCGCCAGGAGACGCGCGTTCTCGGCCGCCTTGGCGCGCAGGTTCTTGGCCTTGGCCACGTCGAACAGGACGTTCATGATGTTGGTGGGGACATCCAGGGACAGGGTCAGTCTGCTCCTGCGGTCCCCTTTGCTGCTGTTGCGGAGCATCTGCCCCCGGAGCTTGGTCCTGCTCATGAAGCGGTAGTTTGCGGGACTCGAGGTCCTCTTCCCGCGGCTGGACTGGGCAGAGGATGAAGAGGAGGAGGAGGAGGAGGAGGAGGAGGAGAGATACTCCGCGGACTGCAGCAGGGACCCCCAGTCCTCCACCGGGGAGTAGCCCGGATCCTCCAGCTGGTTGTCGCACAGGAGGTCGGAGCGGCTGTGGTAGAGGCGCAGGCACAGGCTGGAGGTCGGTGCGCACAGGACCGAGAGCAGCAGCAGGGTCTTCAGAGAGGACAGCATGCTGGCTCCCCTGGGACATGGAGGACAAAACATTCACTGCCTGCATGTAGGCTTTTCTTTTTTATTCTGTTTTAATCTGAAGAATAAGATTTTAAAAAGGTGCATTCACACCGATTTGCAGACACCATCTTTTCATTAAAGTCAATTAAACATGTTCATTGATGCACAAAAGAAGCAGAAAAACACTTTCTATCATTTCTCCTCAGGACTAACATTTTGTTTTTAGATGATAAAATACCACAATATGATCTAATGAGCTCATAAATGTGTATAAGCAACTTCCCAACTTACCACTCGTGTCCTGAAATAAAGAAAACTGTTGTAGATGATTCCCTGCAAAGAAATGAAAAACCCAAAGAGGCAGAAATCCTCAGGAGTGACGACGACAAATCCTGTGTGTGATCGTGTGTGCGTGTGGTTGTTTGTGTGCGGTTGTGTGTGTGGAGGTCAGCAGTGCGCACAGTCTGGCCGCCGGTGCGTCCTGCTCCTCCATCCCCACCATGCATTCATTTAGTAGCAGCCGAGGAACCGCAGCTCTACGCCAGCACACACGTCATCCCGCTGCTGGTTCACACGGAGGAGAGGTTCCTCCGATTGGCTGAGCTGCGGTGATGAAGAGGAGGGAAAGTTGGTAAATGTGACCTGTTGGCGAGCGTGAGGCATCACACACACACACACACACACACATACACACACACACACACACACACACACACACACACACACACACACACAAAGAAAAGTTTGGTTTACTTTTTAGTTTTAAATGCAGGTTTTACTCTTTGTATGTTTTTACAGTAGTTTCCCTAAAGTTAACAATACACACTAATACATACCATCACTATACACTGACAATACACACTAAGAAGTAACACTACACAGTAACTACACACTAAGAAGTAACACTACACA